GTCTTTAGACCTCAGACCTCGGACCTCAGCCCAGTGCTCCGCCACTGTACACCAGGTAGAAGCCATCAGGCAGATCTGTGGAACTGGGGACTCCTTAAAATTCAAAACTTGTATGGAGGCAGGATTCCGAGGTGGCCCCCAAGATCTGCGAACCCTGCTGTATGTGCCCTGCAGGATCCTGGGACTGTGAGCAGGATGGAGCTTACCTCCATGGTGAGGTTTTGTTGTGTGGTACAGTTGGTTTAGGAAGGGAGCTTATCCCCAGTGGCCTGACCGAATGTCCTGAGCCCTTGAGATCTAGGTCTAGAGGTTGGGAAGGAACATGTCAGAGAAGCCCAGCAGGAGAGGAGTTTGATGTGAGAGAGTTTTCTATAGTTGACTTTGAGGATGTGGTCCACATGGTAAGGACTGAGAATGGCCTCTTGGGGCTCAGAGCAGTCTGGTGCCAGCCAGCAGGAGAAGAGGGACTCAGTCCTAAAGCTACAGGAGTGAATCCTGCCACAGCCTGGATGGGCATGGAAGAGGTTTCCAGCCCCAGATGACTGTAGATCCTGCCAAAGCCTTGATTTTGGACTTGTGAAACCCTAAGTAGAGAACTCAACCATTTTGCAGGTGAACTTCTGACTTAAAGAACTGTGAGTGTGACAAACTGGATTAAGAAAATGTGGCACATATACACCATGGAATACTATGCAGCCATAAAAAATGATGAGTTCATGTCCTTTGTAGGGACATGGATGAAGCTGGAAACCATCATTCTCAGCAAACTATCTCAAGAACAGAAAACCAAACATCACATGTTCTCACTCATAGGTGGGAATTGAACAATGAGATCACTTGGACACAGGAAGGGGAACATCACACATCGGGGCCTATTGTGGCTAGGGGGGAGGGGGGAGGGATAGCAGGAGATATACCTAATGTAAATGATGAGTTAATGGGTGCAGCACACCAACATGGCACATGTATACATATGTAACAAACCTGCACATTGTGCACAGGTACCCTAGAACTTAAAGTATAAAAAAGAAAAAAAAGAACTGTGAGCTACTTGGGAGGCTGAGGTGGGAGGATCACTTGAGGCCCAAGTTTGAGATTAGTCTGGACAACATAGTGAGACCCTCTCTCCCCCCACCAAAATTTTTGAAAATAGCTGGGTATGGTGGCATGTGTCTGTTGTCTCAGCTATTCAGGAGACTGAAGTAGGAGGATCGATTGAGCTCAGAAGGTTGAGGCTGCAGTGAGCTGTGACTGGGCACTGCACTTTAGCTTGGGCGACAGAGCAAGACCTTATCTTTAAAAAAAGAAAGAAAAGAAGAAAAAATAAAAGAAGCCAGGTGTGGTGACTCACACCTGTAATCCCAGCATTTTGGGAGGCCAACACGGGTGGATCACTTTAGTCCGGGAGTTTCAGATCAGCCTGGGCAACATGGCAAAACCCTGTCTCTACTAAAAATACAAAAATTAACTGGGGATGGTAGCCTGTGCCTGTGGTCCCAGCTACTTAGGAGGCTGAGGTGGGAGGATCACCTGTGCCCAGGAGGTCAAGGCTGCAGTGAGCCGAGATGAACCAATCTGCCTTGGATACTGAGGGATGACTGTAATTCCTGTAATTCATAAAATATTTTACATCAAAATTATAGATTTTAATTTTGTATTAGGAATCCCTAGAAGATATGCCATTTTAAAGGATGCCTGACTGGGCACGGTGGCTCATGCCTGTAATCCCAGTACTTTGGGAGGCTGAGGTGGGCCGATCGCCTGAGGTCAGGAGTTCAAGACCAGCCTGGCCAACATGGTGAAACCCTATCTCTACTAAAAATACAAAATTAGCCAGATGTGGTGGCACATGCCTGTAATCCCAGCTACTCAGGAGGCTGAGGCAGGAGAACTGCTTGTACACAGGAGGTGGAGGTTGCAGTGAGCTGAGATCGTGCCATTGTACTCCAGCCTGCGCGACAAGAGTGACACTCTGTCTCAAAAATAAATAAACAAGTAAATAAATAAATAAAATTGAAAAGGAAGTCCTTGAAATAGGTGTAGCCATATTCCCTACATAAAGATGCCATCTAATTCATCCTGACATTCTTAACCTGGTAGATACTGTCACCAAATATAAAGGGTATGGGCTAGAGTTTTAGATCAATTTGGCCTTAAAACTTGGGAAACGAGGAAAACCGGTTAGGCTTATTCACACAGTCATTCTTCAATGACCACTGCTGAGTGAAGCAAGGTTTTGTACAACCGCTGCACTGAGGCTGAGGTGCCCTGCGATACAGCTTACTGAGGGCTTTGCTGTAGATAGAGAAGCTTTGGTATCCCTGAGAAATGCCCACTCTATCAGCAATAAAGACAGTTGATGGCTTAGCCTGAATAAATTAGTTCCAAGAAAGCATGTGATATATCTTTCTGGGTTTAGCCCCACACCCTCACACTGCTCATCAGAGATATTTCCCTGATACGTATGGGAGAGGCTAAGTAATTGAACCATCAGTGAATGGAGCTATATAGATACATCACCCATCTGGATCTTTCGAGCCAATGGTGGAATAGTTTTCTTTTAATTCCTGTTCAGAGTGACTTTGGCTTATTTCTTCTTTTCACTCGTCCAGGGTGGAAAGACAGAGAGAGTACTTGCAGTTTCCACTCACTAGTAGACAGGCATAATAATAATCAAAGAACATGAAGCTGAAGCCAAAACCTTTGCCAGACGAAGAGAAACAAATTGCACCGAAAAATCATCCCAGACTTCCTGGCGGTTGCAGTGGCAGCTCTTGTTATTGTATTTCTCAGCCCCATCTTTCTGTTTTTCTTATGGCAAATGTCACATTGTTGACTTTCCATCGTGTAATGTCAAAAAGAATGATCATTAAGCAACCTTTTGAAAAAACAAACATCTTTACTTGGTCTATGAAAGATCTGGAATAAAGAAATTTCTGAAAATGTTTCCTGCATATTTCAATGGAGTGGGCACTTGAAAAGGCGATGTTATTCTGAAAGCACTAGTTGATTGTTAGAAACTGGTTGCATTACTTTGTGTCAGAATCATGCACAATGAAGGTAGATGGTTTTCCTATTATTTTAAGGGTAGAAAAAATATTTTATGAATGACTAAGGAGTGTGACAGAAACTACAGAAGGGGCATGGTAGGGGTCACTTTGAGCCTCAGGGCTTACAACCCCTGCCTGCATACACCACCCTGGAGTGTCAGAAAGTGTGGTCTTCTAAAAAAAAAATTAATTGATTATATTTCATTGACAGATACAAACGTGGCTTCTTGCCCAATTCCAATGTTTATGTATTTTCTTTCATAATAAATATGCTTGTATCACTGACAAGATAGGAAGCAAGATGTCACTAGGTCTACCCGCTTCCCACCTCACCCCACCTCACTTGTGAATAGACAAAACCTATGGCAAGGCTTTTCCCGATTTCCTCCTTCTCCAGTTAATACTGGTGCCATTGTTTTTATCCAGCTAGCTATGCTCATCTTTCCTTTCTTCCTGACTGTGGGAGAGCAGAAAATGTAGACCTGGCTCCAGAGACAACTCTGAGGATTTTCTTGCATTTTCACCTAAATAATCCAAGAAGCAGGCCGGTGTGGTGGCTCATGCCTGTAATCCCAGTACTTTGAGAGACCAAGGTGGGCAGATCACTTGATGCCAGGAATTTGAGACCAGCCTGGTCAACATAGTGAAACCCCATCTGTACTGCAAATATAAAAAATTAGCTGAGTGTGGTGGTGCGTGCCTGTAATTCCACCTACCTGGGAGGCTGAGGCAGGAGAATCACTTGAACCTGGGAGGCAGAGGTTGCAGTGAGCTGAGATTGTGACACTGCACTCCAACCTGGGCAACAGAGGGAGACTCTGTCTCAAAAATAATAATTAATAATAATAATAATAATAATCCAAGAAGCAGTAGGGACATCGGTTAAGAATCCCATCCACTGCATTTCTGTTCACTAGTGCCTCTTGAGATAGGAGTTAACTAGGTGAAGAGGGCTTGAAGGAGTATTCTTTGTGAAGAATAGACAAGACGGGCAGCAGGGAAGGGGAGATGATGGGACAAGAGGGGAGACGGATGGGGACCACACAGGCTGACCCTGTAGGCCACGTGGAGATTATTGCTTCTATTCTAACAGCACTGAGAAGCCTCTGAAGTGTGTAATCGGAGGGCGAAGGGAGGTGCTTACAGAGGACACCTTGTTGGCTGCAGTATGGAGAATGGATTAAAGGAGGGAACAGAGAGGATATCCAATCAGGAGGATGTTCGAAGGTCCCGGCAAGAGGTGGTACAGGTTGAGCACCCCTGATGCAAAAATCTGAAATCTGAAATGCTCCAAGATCCAAAACTTTTTGAGTACTGACATGACACCACAGGTAGAAAACTTCAAATGTAAGTACTTCATACAAACTTTCATTCATGTGCAAAATTACCAGAAATATTGTGTAAGATCACCTTCAGGCTAAGTGAATAAAACATATGTGAAACATACATGAAATCCGTGCTTTGACTTGTGTTTCATCTCCAAGATATCTTATTATGTGTAGCAAAATGTTCCAAAATACTAAAGTATCTGAAACTTGAAACTTTTCTGGTCCCAACCATTTTGGATAAGGAATAATTCACCTGTATTCCCTTGGGTTTGGGAGGAGGTGGAACAGAGAGGATTGGTGGTGGATCGTCTGAGGCAGGTGAGAGGGAGGGAGATGTCTAGGAAGATTCCTGGATCTTGGGGTGGTTATGCTATTCTCTGGAACCTAGAACCTTGGAAAAGAATATTTACTTATTTAAAATTTTCCTTTGTTTCAGATAGAGAGCTTGCATTCCATTTTGGATGTATTAAGTTTAGGGTTCATTTTAGAAAATCAAGAGATGTCCTGAAGTCATAAGATAGCTAATTTCTCTATCACCTGGTGGGAAAAAATTGAGAAAACAAGGTAAAATTCTAGAAATAAAATTCTATAGTGTTAAGGCAAAAATCAGAGAAATTTCCAATTCAATTTTCAAGATACTCTTTCACATACTGTAATTTTGTTATTTTTCCAACAAATTGTGGCAACATTTACATTTTCATGATGACTTTTGAGACAAGAAAAGGGAAGGTGGTGACAGAAGGTGGGTGGAGCAAGCTTGGAGGTAGCTCTGTGGGTTGGCATGCGGGAATGGGCAGTTGGTGAAGGGTTCCTTCTGAGTCATCGGATTTGCTGAGAGAAATGAGCAAGGTGGAGCAGGTGAGCTGATTTGATCCAATCCTTAGAACCGTAACTGCCAACAGAGAGAAAATACAGAGGTAGCTTTGAGGAAAACATAATTTTTTTTCCACATTTCCCTTTGGGAAGACATACCATTTAGCTTGATTTTTGAGCAGAGAGATACAAAAAGCCCCATAGTCCCTATTAAACCTCAATCCTTGGAAACATAATTTATCAGATCCTTAAAATGAGTCAAATATTTTCCTATAAGAATGTCCTGTAGACCATAAGACGGAAACTAAATAAAAGTTCAGTATCTGTCTGGATATCCTTGTACACATTTAAATTTTCTAGTGGTGTCATTGCATGATCCAGATTTCTACAAGGAAGAGTGATCTTTCTATGGAAATTTCAAAGGTGAGTTATACATGTGAGTGCTTTCCTTTTCAGCCAAAACACATACTATTAAGAACAGTTGTAAATCAGGTGAAATAATTTTTTTCCTTCACATTTTAAACCATACTATCAAGGGAGAATTAGGAAACAGAATTTGCCAAATGTGACACTTTTTTTAGTGAAAATTTATTTATTTATGTCTTTATATTAAATTAGAGAATGAAGGCAACAAATAGAGATAAGCTAAATGTTGTTGGCTAAAGTGTGGAAGAAAGATTCAAATCATTTCAACTAAATAGGGATTCTGTGGCATCAAATATCCTGCAGAGAATATAAAACAAAGTTTTAAATGTACAGCATATGTCTGTTCTCAGGGTCATCAAACTGCATTTTTATCATTTTTATCACCTGGTCTGAGAGAGCGAAGGGCCTCTCCTGCGATATCTGAGTGCTGCCCTGTAGCTGACAAGTGTCTCTCCGGGGATAGGGCTGACCCACTCCCCCAGAACAATTCTCTTTCACAGAAGTGGAACCCCCTGGCTTTTCTGAGACCTTGCAGAAACTTGTCTATTTCTTCTGCTAAAAGCAATAAACTTGTGCAATTATTAATACTGAATATATGTAGAAGTAAGATATTCTATTTGGCGTGGCCCAGTTTCAGTAGCAAGAGAGTCATACTTTCCTGGGACTGAAAGATTCACATATTGTACATAATAGTTTTTAATGAAAGTCGGCACAATTTCAAAGTTTATCAAATATAAAGAAAGAACTAGAGAAGTATGTTCCTCTTTTTCTTTTCTAGAACTTATTTTTCTTATTTTCAGGTTTCCTTTTTCTCCTCCCTGGCTTCACCCCCACCCCAGTTTTCTTTCTCTGACTTTACTTTGGCATTGCCTATTTCTATCATTTGCTCCTTTCAAGAATCCTATTGTTCTCAGAGTTCTTTTCTTTCTTTTCCTTCACCACATTTTTTTCTGTCTCCTTTCAACTGAAACTACAACCTATTGGTTCAGCCCACTGGCTTCCTAGGTAAGAAAATGTGTCTGACTCATTGGCTAAATATAGGTGCCCCTGCTGAGCTGGTTGCTTTCTTTAAAGAATTCTCAGTGGTGTTCTCTCAGCTGCTTGTCTTTTCTATTTAACCTCTTTTTTTTTTTTTTTTAAATAGAAAATGCTATGCAGGTCTTATTTGGTAGAATGATTAGTTATACAAGAAAATGCAGAAAACTTTCCCTTGAGAAACACTTAGGATAACCTAGTTGAAGAATTTCCTCTTTAATACCTCAAATATGTATCTCACTTTACAGCTCATCAATGGCTCAAAGCAAAGTTGAGTCTCTCCTCTGGCCCAGAAAGGTGGACATCAGCTTGATGGATGAAAACTTGGGCTCCAGAGTCCGACAGGCTTGGGTCTGAATCCCGCCTCAGTTCATGTTGTTCTACATTTGTGGCAATTGATTCAACCTCCCCAAGAGCCAGTATGCTCAGCTGGAAAGTGGAGGTAGTAATAAGGTCCTCTAGGGTTGTCGAATGATTAGTTCTATGTGCCTTGTGCATAGGCAGGACCCACTGGAATTTTTTTTTTTCTTTGACAGAGTCTCACTCTGTTGCCCAGGCTAGAGTGCAGTGGCACAATCTCGGCTCACTGCTACCTCTGCCTCCCAGGATCAAGCAATTCTCCTGCCTCAGCCTCCTGAGTAGTTGGGATTACAAGCACGCATCACCACGCCTGGCTAATTTTTGTATTTTTAGTAGAGACGGGATTTCACCATGTTGGTCAAGCTGGTCTCGAATTCCTGACCTTGTGATCCCCCCACCTCAGCCTCCCATAGTGCTGGGATTACAGGCTTAAGTCACCGTGCCCGGTCTGAATTTTAATTTTAAAAAAAGCTACTTTGGATGCTCTTGGGAAAGTGGAAGTAGTATCTTTAACATGCCTTCTATAGCAATAAGAAAGAATGAGTTCTAGGTCCAAGTGAATATGCTTCCATCATAAAAGAATTCTCTTCTCTTAAATTGAATGTGGAAAGAAACATTGACCAAGGTTTAGGCACTTCAAGATATTTCTTAGAGAAAATGTTGTGATCATAGTTCTTAGAAATGATAAAAAAGAAAAACATACATCAATACAGCATAAGTGGGACCATGCTCAAAAATTAAGACCTATCAATCAAATATTTCTACCCATTACAAATATTATTTATCCAAAATAGTAATTTGATTTTAATTACTGTTTCGGTTGTTTAGTATAATATTTAATATATAACTGGTAACAATGAGTAGTTATACTTATAATGGCCAATGTAACTCATTTGGTTATATTTATTTTATATATTTGTTCTATATATGTATATATACATACACACATAAATACATATTTGTTTTATATGTGTATATATGCATACACACTCACATAAATATATATTTACATATACTTTTTCACACAGAATTATTTGACAAAATTGCTTGACTTTTTAAAAATAATTCTGTGATGATGGCAGAATGTGAGGAGTCCTTCCTTCTCTCCCCAAAAACCCCAAAACATTTACTGAGGGCTTGCTAAATGGGAAGATTTGGCTCCAATTATCTATTATGATAGGTAATTGAAATGACCACCTTAAGCCAACCACTCACCCACTACATAAAATCATGATCCCCAAACTGGTGTTTCCCAGTGGGGCTTTGCACTTTGAGATGCACACGTGTCCGCTATGAAGGACCTGTTTAAAAAGAAAAGTTTCAGTAATTACAACTATGTGTGATAGTTCACTTATTCATTCATTCAGTCATTACATTTATTCTGTGACTATGATTTTTCAGCCATTTTTCTAGTTTTTACATATGTAGATGTTAATGTCCTACCTAAAGCCGTGTCTTCCCTGAGTTTTCTCCCTCTTCGCTTCTCATTGCAGAGACGGGCTGGTTGTGTCAAGTCTTGGTTACTTGTGTATGTGTGCATAGGCCCATACAATGCTCTGGAAATGACCTCTTAAAAAATAAATTTTGTATTTACACGGACCTTAAGATAATTTAGGAGATATATGTGTGTGCATAGATATATGCATATATTAATATATGTGTATATTATATAACAAATATTATTCATAAATACAGATAAACATATATGTGAATAAATATATAAAGGACATGAACACATATTTGTTTATATCTATATCAGAGCTTCAAGTGGAGGTGGGTTGACAAGATGTACAGTGTGCTAATTGAACCTACCTCTTCCAGTCGAAGGTGTGGCTCCTCAGATGGCTCGGCAAACAAGAGGTTAAGGGAGGGGGAGAAGCAGACAAAGTCAATACAGTCAGTTAATTGCAGGAAGCAGTTGCACAGCAACTGCAGCCAGGGAAACTGTTCTCTAGGAGCAGCCAATCACACAGGGGACCGAGTTCACCAGGAAGTGCTTGCCTCCGCCTGCCCCTTCCCCTGTGCCTTGGCTCTCCGCTGTCTGTATGTCTCTCCATCTCTCTGTCTCTGTGGCTTTCTTTTTCTGTGCCTCTTAGGCGCTCCCTCTTGGTCTCTGCTTCTTTGCCTTTTTTGTCTATGGGCTCGCTAAGATGTACACACACGAGGTTTATAGAGACAGACAAGGAGCCCTTTTCTAGCTTGTCCTCTTCAGTTCTTTGCCCATTGCCCAGAAACAGTGTTCACGTAAGGTAAAGGCAGGCTGTGCACTTCCTGCCCACGCCATCACCTGCCAGGTGAGCACAGGGCATGCCCAAAGTCAGTCATCTCCACATGTTGGATGTGACGTCATAATGTGTGAAAGCTGTATTGTATCAGCATAAACTCCAACGTAGCCATCAAAGTAATTTGACTTATGATAGAGAATGACCTGGATGCCATATATTCTATCAAAAGATTCCTGGGCCCACCATTTATTTTTCCGTTATCCCCTGTAATGAATTTTAGATTAGCTATTCTTTGAAAAGGGACATTTGCTATCAGAGTTCTAGTTAGGCTTTTAATTTTTATGAAAGAGGTGTATTGGCCTACAGCCTAGAAGAGTCTTATTATTTTTTGTCTGTCAAAGCTGGGACTGGCAGGGGATTTCCCAGTATTAATTAATTAACTCCAGGCTCTTTTGGCAAAATGCCTTGAAAGGGATGGCCTGTCCTGAGTGACCCTCTCGTGTACTTTGTGCCAGTGATCATTAAACTCGCAAAATTGTCTCACCTGGTTCCAGGACATTAAATGAAGATAAGAATAATAAACTCTCATATTAACATAAAGGAAATATTAATCTACTAGACACATAAAGAAAACGGTGTAAAATTCCTTCTGCATCCTAGGGCAAATGAATATCTTAAGATCATTTTTAATGTTTTTTTGCCCAAGGTTCAATAAGAGTCCTGAGATACTCAGGGCTCTGTCACACTCAGTCATTTATAAAACATGTAAACATGCAAGACAAAGGGCCCTTGGAGCCCACCGTGGCACTCCATAGCACAACAGAAACATTCACTAGCCAACCCACTATTAGCTAGGAAAACAGATGGCTGATCCTTTTGGATACAGAAAAGGGTAAGTAGTGATATTTTGCAACCTCTTTAACCTTCTGGAGAAGCACTAATAGAAATTGGGTTTGGGTTCAACCTTTCCTGGTTTCTTTCTTTTCTTTTTTCATTTATTTATTTATTTATTTAGTTAGTTAGTTAGTTTTTAGGCAGATACTCGCTCTGTGGCCCAGGCTGGAGTGCAGATGCAGTGGTGCAATATCGGCTCACTGCAACCTTTGCTTCCCAGGTTCAAGCAATTCTCCTGCCTCAGCCTCCTGAGTAGCTAGGATAACAGGCACCCACCACAACACCCTGGCTAATTTTTGTATTTTTATAGGGACGGGGTTTCGCTATGTTGGCCAGTTTGCTCTTGAACTCCTGACCTCAGTTAAACCGTCTGCCTCGGCCTCCCAAAGTGCTGGGATTACAAGCATGAGCCACCATGCCCGGCCTCCTGGTTTCTTTAGAGACTCCAGGATTTCACAAACAAGGAACATGTTCAGAGAGGATCCTGTGCTGTCATGAACGTACAGTTTGGGATCTGCTGGAGGCTGTCTCTATGAAGCTTGCACTCACAGGAAGTAAGAAATCTCCCAACATCTCTAACTCAAAGGGCAGTGCCAGTCTTTTTTTTACCATTCCCCATACATGGAAACACACACACACACAGAAACACACACACACGCACAGAAATACATACATAGGAATACACACCCAGAAATGCACACAGAAAAACAAATGCAGAAACACAAACACAAACACACACAGATACACACAGTATTCCTCTAAAAAGGTTCTCCTGTTTTTTAGTCATTGGAATATGCTGAGTGACAGAAAGCAGAATTAATACCAAATTTTAAAATGAACTGAAATAAATGAATCATCAGGGCATAAAAGGTGATGTTAGAGAACCAAGGAAATACGGCTGGGGAAAGTTGTGTTTTATGAATCAGCCACATTACCAAGTTTCAATGTGAATTACTTGAGGGCTGGGGGAGAGCCAGCACTCCCTACCCCAGCAGACAGAAACTTCCCCTGTTTATCGGCAGTGGGCTTGGCACACTTTCCTCCACATGCAGTCCACTTGCCCAAAAAAGGTGGTATTTTTTTATTGGAAAAATTAAACTGTAAATTATCTCTGAAAGGCTTGCATCTTTATGATAATTTTCTAAATTATTATCATTTTTACAAACATGTGAAGTCACACATGCCTAGGATAATGCTGTATACAGTAGGCTGGAGATCTCAGTGCTAGGGAACACATAATGTGAGGTGCTGCTTAACCAGACCTGGGTGATGGAGGGAGCTTATGTTGTCATTAAAATGTCTTTAAGAGTTTTGTAAATTCTGAAAGTATGAACACCATGTGCTAAGTTGTGGATGTGAATCATGGTTCACATCCGTGTTTTCTTTTCTCAGTAACAGTCAATAAATGCTAGTTGTTATTATTATCACCATAATTATTAACAGATGGGGTGGAAAGTTATATCAGAGAGCAAACCAGTGTTGAGCCACTACTGTGTCTAAGCCTCGTGGCCATCTGGTGAGGTGTCTTCGTCCTACTAATGTCATTTTATATACAGCAAGTTATGGCCAAGACCACCCTGTTAATAAGTTCTCATTCTGGTTCTATTACTCTAGGCTGCTCATGATTGAATAGCTTAGGAGACAGGAAAACTGTTGAGGCTTTATTAGTACAGGATTTGCACTTCCCTTGTGTGATTCAAACTTAATCACAAACCGAAACTAGGATAAATACTCAGAGACAGCTCTGTTTCCTGGGGCTATTCTCTCACTCTGCTAAGGCTATAGGATGCACTTTAGGCTTTGTTTCTTGAGTTAAGATTATTCTCATGTTCCTGAAAGAAAATATTCCTCCTCCCATTTTCCAGATGGGATATCAGCACACGTAGCCATCTCAGCTATAACGACAATTGCAAGAATAAGATCTCCGAACATGAATTAATGATCATGGCTGAGTCTCCTATTGAGTTTTCCTATGGAGGCATTTCAGGGGCCTGAATTACAGCTAAAATGGAGTGGCTTTGTGTGTGCCCTGTAAGAGGGAGGTATTGCATTGAAGCAAGTGTTGGCTCAACTTCATAATGAGAAACCTGGATACTGATGGGGTTTAGCTTTGATTGCATTCTGGAACTTACTGCACTCAGCTGGGTGTAGTCCAGCAACTGGGTGGCACTGGCAGAGGGAGGCCTGCTTCTACAACAATTACTGGTCAATTGCAAGTGATTATAATGGCACCGTGTCTAAAACAATATGGAGAAAAATGCTGCCTGGAAAACATAAAACAGTGGTGCTCTACCACAGAATGAACAAGATGCTGAGAATATCAGAGTAACCAGAGATGCTGGAAATTCAAGTTGCTACTCTAGATCACAGGACGATGGTACTCTTTTAAAAAATCTCCGTGGTATATTTTCAACTACGTTCTTCATCACAGACAGTCAGAACAAGACGCAGTGGGTTCTATACAAACTCTTTTTTGGTGAGTTGAGACGGCTGGACAGATTTCAAGAAAGAGCAGGGCTGACCAGTCTTGCCACATGAATCCATCCAATAAATAAGAAGAACTGAGAAGAATACCTTACTGCATCTAACTTCACTTCTACCAAAAGAGACATCCCATTGGTATGGGAGAATGCAGATTCCAAGAGATGACTGTACCCGGAAAACATCCTGGAGATCCTTATGAGTACATGATCAGTAGGTAATTGCTCTGATATTTGCAGACAGAATAGAAGAATTATCACTTTTGCTTTTACATCCTTTATTGGTTGTGAGTGATTTGGCCACAGGAGGTTGCAAGCAACTGTGGACCAAGTAACAATAAAACCAAGCTTAAATGAAGGCTATGGGGCTCCCTCTCCAGTGGCACCTTGAGAGAGTGGGCAGTCTCCCTTGGACACTGCCTCTCTGGCTCCCCAGAAACACTACTTGGTGTTGGCCTGGGCCAGTGGACTCTTTGCAGGCTGTCGATTGGCTGCTGCCAGTCCTGTGGTGGTTTCTTCACTCCTGTGAGAAGCTGTGACATATTCATTCTTGGCAGTCACCATCTCAGGCGTTAAATCACTGTCCTCAAATTTCCAGAGTTCTGACATGTATAATGGGCTTGGTAGGGGACCTGCAATAATTCTTTTTCAGTATTTATGAAATCGTGTGCTCCCTATGGCTTCTGGGCCTTTCAGCTGCCTTTCAGATATCCCTCCTATAAATTTTCCATGATTATCACTTTCTAGCTTTGAAATATACATTTTATGCATTGTTATTGGGATACGGGAGGCACCATTGACTTTGCCTTCTGTTGTGGATTTGTAATATGCCTATAGCCTCACCTGCCTAAATATATATTTCACTTGTGGCCATTTTAATACAGAACGAGCTTCATTACTATGCATCTTTCATTTCTGCAAATCTGAATCCTGTGGTTCTCCCCAATCATATAAACCTTCACACACTAAACCAAAGGTCACGCCAATAAACATTTCCTACATGGTGGCGCCTAATGTTGCCAGAAAAGTCTTGCTTTTAGCATCCTGTGCCTCTGTCTGTGGTAAATTCTCTCATTCCCAGTTCTTGTGAACTCACTCTGTCCTCCCCTTTCCCACTGCTGCAGGCCAAATCCCACTGTCACCATTGTGGAAATGAGACTCCATGGTAAGATAGAGGCTAGCCAATCAAATTTTAGCCTCATTTTTTTTTTTTAGTTTATACCCCACTGTTAGAAATATAAGCAGTTGAGACTGTGTCTTGTGTTTGGAGGCACAAGGCTTTTTAAATTTTTCTCTATGCTTTGTATTTTTCTACCTATAACCTCTAGCTAACTATGGATGAGGGTCTGAAGTCAGGCTAGGACTCAACCAAAGGTTTTATGAAACAATGACTAGGTATTCTCTACAGCATCTCAGAAGCAGCTTACTGCTGATATCCTAATATATTGAAAAGGAACACTTGGGAGAAATGAACAGTTTGTTGGGACTTCCAACAAATGGGTATCACGGGGCTAGCTCCCATTTATTTATGAAGTTGAGTGGCTTATGTGATCTTTTTTCTTTAGATCCTCAGTTAGCCTAAGTGAGGATGGGTAATAGCAGAAAAAGAGTAGCACAGAGTCTTGTTTGGAAAGTTCCAAAAATTCCTAGCTGGAAATAGGGAAATTTTAAAAACATAGAATTTTATATTTGAATTTTGATATACTGAAGATCAGAAAAGTCACT